GGGGGGAGGGGGGGGGGGGGGGGGGGTATTACCTTCCTTCTACCTCTGATGGCGAACATACCAGCTTCTGTGCAGACTGAGCGTATGTCTGCGCCAGTAGTATTTGGGCAGAGTCGGGCGAGTAGTTCGAAACGTATGTTCTTGTCCATGTTCATAGTACGTGCGTGTATTTTAAAGATGTGTGTTCGGCCTTCTAAGTCAGGTAATCCGAACTCAATTTTACGATCAAGTCTTCCAGGTCTAGTAAGGGCAGGATCAAGAGTATCGGGTCGGTTGGTTGCCATGAGAACTTTGATGTTCCCGCGTGCGTCGAAGCCGTCTAGTTGATTGACAATTTCGAGCATGGTGCGTTGTACTTCGCTGTCGCCATGACCGCCGCCGCCTTCGCTGCCACCTCGGGCGCCTCCGATGGCGTCGATTTCGTCGATGAAGAGAATGCATGCCTTCTTACTACGTGCTAGTTGGAATAGTTCGCGAACCATTCGAGCGCCTTCACCCACATATTTTTGGACCAACTCACTGCCGATGACGCAAATGAAGCACGCGTCAGTACGATTCGCAACAGCACGCGCTGTCAGCGTCTTACCCGTACCCGGCGGCCCATAACACAGCACCCCCTTCGGCGGGTCGATACCGAGTGTCACGAAGCGCTCGGGGTGCAACAACGGGATTTCAACAACCTCTCGCAACTTCTCCAATTGATCCTTGCAACCACCTATGTCACTATAAGTCACCGTCGGCTTCTCCTCCACTGTCATCATGCTTACTGCCGTGTCAATCCGCTGGGGCAACGCTATCTGGATCCGATACTTCTGCTTGTCCACTCCCACTCGAGTATTCTCTTCTATATCCGTCGGCGCAACACGGTCACCCAAACCCACCACAAACTTTGCCGTCTGTTTAATGTTAATCACATACTTCGGCTCGTCCGTATCTGCATCCAAAATCTTCGTACACGTCGCCACCTGCAATCCCTGACTCTCCCCCAAAGCCATTCTATCGGCTTGCAAATCCCACTGACTCTGAGGAGCCAACCCCGTGTCATGCTCCTTGATCCCCGTCGCTTTCAAAATCTCGTCATTCAACTTCTTCACAGCCTCATCCAACTCGCCACATGCCTTCTGGTAAGGACCCAACTCCTATACACATAAATTATTACAACCATGCTAGCATGCTAGGCTATACCACACCCACCCGCCATCCTCTTGACTGGCCTATCGTTCCTCTTCTGGCGAGACCTTACCTACCTATCTGGCCTGGCCCCACCTACCTACCTACCTACCTACATGCAACCGCTGGTGTGTGTTCTTACATAACTATCCACATTGTTCGGGTCGAACCCTTGTGGCTCGGTTGATTGTTCAGTTGGCTGAGGGCTCACGTCAGTCATAAATAATTTTTCGGGCCAGGCCTGATGACTGATAGCGATCAAGACGACCTATTGGATATAAATGACATAAATGAAACAGTGGTCGTGAAGCATACAGGCACTAACAAGGAGACCCTGACTTTCTAGTAACCGACCTACCAGTATTCATGAATCCCGTCAGTTGCACTTGAACCATCCATAAAAT